AATTCTCGATAACTGTAATAATAACATCCCCACCACTCATACATAAAGACCAAATTTATGGATTTTAATCAACTATGTAGTTAGCGTGCTCCCAAATCTAGGCCGAGGTAAGTCCATATTTTATACTACATTAGTTAGGTTTAGGTTACCGTCATCCGGTGCCCAATTTAGATTTAAAATATGGGGTAGATTTTGAATCATAAGACCCCAACCTTTGGTAAAATAAACTCAAAATTCTAATAATATGATCAATCGATAAAAGTTTTCTTTCAATCTAAAGTTTAAAGCCCAACACTTAGCTTTGGTCGAGACACTTTTGAATTATTTTAGAATCCCAAAGTATCTCCTGCCTCTCCTCTCTTGATTTTGGAAATAAATGTCCATAATTTGATGCATTCCTAGTTCAAATTCAAATTCCACCTCCATTGCAATCACTTTTAAAAAAAATTCTAAAAAAGTTTGTCATTATTTTAATCTAGTGTATTTGTAGGAAACTCCAATTTCCTATGATATAATTAACTATGATGGATTGCACTCATAGGAGATTTAGAGTCCACATCTATCTTTTTTAAATTGATTTTCAAAATTCAATTTAGTCTTCTTTAAAAAATTGAATTGATGATGATCATTTTCGTCATGTTTGAATGATTATTAATGAATGATATTTTCTTTCTTTGGGAGATATATCTTTTGTTGATAAAACTTAGATATGAAAATAATAATATTTCATCTTGATTATCATAGCTATATATTAGATCGAACTTCACTTTAACTTCTTGAGGTCATATATAGTTCTTTCTTAAATCTGGTTACGATATTCAAGTTGATATTTACAATTCTAAATCGGAACCCCATTCTTAAATATTATTACTTCCTCTCTAGATAGTATATCATTTCTGATGGGTTATTCAATTTCAGAATTAAAATCTAAAGTCAATTCCAAATTTCCCAAAGAAGAAATTTTTTTTTCCAAAATCACTTTTTAAAATCTTCCACCAATAAGGTGATTTCAACAGGTATATATAAAGGGGACCAGCCTAGGTATGAGTGGCAAGTTGTGAAGAGAAGGTCCCCCCAGTACCTCTACCTTTACTGGATCCTCCACTAGTATTTTTCTTGTGCTTAAAAATATTTGTGATGAGTCACCTATGGAGCTCATCATCTCCAAAAGACATTTATAGAAAATTCTAGAAATAATTAGTTATAATTTAAATATTTATAAAAAAACAAGAAATATATAAATTAAATGCATGAAAAGGAACTATTGTATGTATGTTAATTTGTAAAAAAAAATATATATATATTTTATGTATACTAACATGAAAAAATGAACTATTTTATGTATGCAAACATATAAAAAATAGGTGATTTATATTTACCTCATAACTATTAATCACTATGTGATTTACTTTCATTTGATTTGATTACATCCTCAGTACTAACATCTTCAGTGTTCTCCTCAATATCTTTGTCTACCTCCTCTAACTATAACTCAATTTCATTAGCTATAATTTGATCATCTACATCATTAGCAGGATCTTTATAGTTTGATATATACCCTTCTCTATGTGCTGCTAAAATTTATGTAGTATTATCAATAACCCTCTAAGTTTAATATTGATGGCTAATGTAAATCTTACTTGCCCCACAGTATACCTCGATAGGTTGAAAATAATATTTGGGTAGCCTAGCTTGCAAAGAAAAATGGGTCCTTTCAATATCTTCTACCTCGCTTTATTTATGTAATACATTAAAGTGGATACACCTTTGTTCCTATGTTTTGCACTGTATTTAACCAATCACAATTAAAAAGATATAAGATATTCCCTGCACTAAGATATTCCAAATGTAGTACGTCTTTCAAGACCCTGTAATACTAACAATCATCACTTGTATGATTATTCCCTTTCACACATACACCACAGTTTTATATTTTCTGACCATCACACCAAGTTAGTGGAAGTTTTGAAAATGGGTTTTGAAAGATTTAATCTTATTTAGGAAGTTTAATATTGAATCTATAGTCTCAAAATTGAACATCTTGTTATAAATAATACATTGCCCCTTAAGGCAAAGATATTGTTTGTTAATAGATTTAGAAGCTGAAACTGAAAGTTATCATCCTGATTGTAATAGTCGAATTCAAATATAAATCACATGCGATCTCGAAGGTTCAAAATGAGATTCTATCAATATTTAACCACTATAATCTAGATGGAAGATCATTAATTTCATTTTCCATGTCACAATAATGAATGATATATCTCTCCAAAGAAATAAAATATCACTCATTATCGATCGATGGAATATGACGATAATGATCATTATCAACTTGATTTTCCAAAAGAAGATTAATTTTGAGTTTTAAAATTTTATTTTGAAAAAGATGGATATGGTTCTAAATCTCCTATGAGCGCAAGCCCTCGTAGTTAATTACATCATGGGAAATTGTAATTCCTATGAATGCTCTCGATTAAAATAATGATAATTTTTTTTTTGAAAGATTATCTAGGAGTTATTTCAAAGGAGTTGAATTTTAGAATTTTAAATAGGAATGGATCAATTTGGAGCACTTATTTTTGGAGTCAATGAAAAAGAGGTAGGAGACACTATATTATTCTGAATACGATTCAGAAGTGTCCCAACCTAATATAAGTGTTGAACTTTAAGTTTTAGATTGCAAGAAGATTTAGTTTAAGTTGAGCATTGAAGTTGGTGTCTTATGATCCAAGATCCACCCCAGATCCTAAATCTAAATTGGGCACTACATAGTGGTAACCCGAACCTAACTAATGCAATGCAAAATCTTGACTTACCCTAACTTGGATTGAATAATTGCAGCATTGCATTAAAAGAGAAGCATCAAAGAACTAGATACCAGTAATAAAAGGATCACATTCCTCCTTGATTAAGTCCATCAAGAAGGAAGGGATATCTTCTAAAGAAAAACTATCAAAAGAAAAACTACTTTCCAATGCCAAAGTAGCACAACAATTAGCTACTTTATTACAATATCTATAGGCATGCTGGAAAACAACTTTATTGAAATCATTTAAAAAAAATAAATCCTTTGTCGGCCACTTATCCAAAGGACATTTATTATTTTTCAATGAGTCTTGAATGAAATGGATAATATTGACATTATCACTCTCAATGATCAACCCCGTGCATTCCAACATCCAACTCTTAAGGAACTCCTTCACCGTAATAACTGCTTCCATTTTGAGCTGGGCCACATCCCAATGGATCTTCTTCTTCCCAAATGCACTGATCAAACGGCCTTTATGATCTCGAAAAACACCACCAATACCACCAAGATTAGAGCTAAGCAAAGAGGCATCTAAGTTAATCTTAATCAAATCTTTCAGTGGAGGGCACCGAGTATTTGGAGACTCCTTAAGGAGATTAGTACCCCAGCTAGTAAGATATGGACTAGATTTGGAAATATCTAAGAACAATGCATTAGAAGCAAAAATAGAATAAGGAAATGCATCCTTACCATGCTTCACATAATTCCAGTTCTTCCAGGATAAGTATACCACTGAACAATGGATCTTGACAATACCGGAGTTACAATTTGATGGCCTTTGAAGCTCAAGTAAGCAGCAGTCCAAAGAACTGAAAACAAGAATCATAAAACCCCATTCAAGCATCTTCATGATGACTTCCAACATATATTTACAATGAACCATTATATGTTCATATGATTCAACCACTTGGCAGCCTCTAGCACAAACATCTATCTCAGTGATCCTACGGTTCTTAATAAATAGATTAGTAGGAATCCCAACTTTACCTAACCTCCACCAGAAGATTTCAACCTTCTTACTGAGTTTAAGCTTCTGCAACCATCTGTAAAAACCAACATCTTCAAAGATATATCTGTTGAACAACAACTGTTCATATACCACTGTAGAGACTGTCTTACCCGAACACCATTTAAGCAGCTCCATACCATCCTCCTCCACATAATCAATTTGAATTTGTCTAATCAAAAAAATAAGCTCTGGATGAAAGGCCCTTTGTAGCAAATTTAAATTCCATTCACCATTGTTTACCAAAAGATGTTGAACATAAATACCATCCAGCAATTCACAGTCCACATATGTTGGCCATCGATTGATGCTTCTATCCAGCAACTAGACATCATTCAAGACATTGATTTTGTCACCCTTGCCAACCTTCCATCTGATAGCAGTTTTCAAATTCTTTGCCCCATCCAACATAATCTTCCACGCACTAGAAGTGATTTTCTTCTGATCATCATTCATAACATCATCACCATATTTAGCTTTCAAAACTCGTTTTAATAAAGATCCGGCTTCTGAATAAAATTCGAAGCCAATCTAGATCTCAAAGAACCAATTCTTAATAAAGGAGAGTGCAAGCCCAACCCACCCATACTTCTCGGCTTGCATAACTCACCCCAAGCAATATAATGCATACCTTTGGACCCATCATTCTTATGCCATAAAAAATTTCTAGAAAGTCTTTCTAACTCATGCAATACTCTTTTGGGAGCCAAAGAGTGAGTAACAAGGAAATTTGGCATGGAAAGTAAAGAAGTCTCGATGAGAGTAAGTTTACCTCCCATTGATAATGATTTCTTACCCCAAGAGTTGAGTTTGTCGATTACCATACTCATAAGTTCTTGAAAATCTGCCATCTTAATTCTTCCAAGTGAAATCTTCACTCCCAAATACTTTATCTCCTTGACCTCCTTGAAGCCTAGAACTCTAACAATTTTCTTCTTCATAGAATAACTAACCACCTTGCCAAATAAAATCTGTGATTTTTTTACATTGACTCTTTGCCCTAAAATCTGTGATTTGTTGACATTGACTCTTTGCCCTGTCCACTTAAAAAAATCCTTCACTATAGTCTTCAGTGCATTGGCTAAAGTAATGGAAACATGAGACAATATGAACACCATCTGCATAAAGAAGACGTGTGATCCTTGGACCTCTAGGTGAAGTTCGAATGCCAAGATTCTTCCCCCTTTACTCCAAAGAGTTGGAAATGAGTTGAGAACACAATATGAAGAGATATGGAGGAAGTGGACATCCTAGACGGAAACCACTTTGAGCACAAATCCATTTGGGGTTCCTTCCATTGATGATGATAGAAAACCTCACATCTACAACACATTCCATAAGGAAGTTAGAAAACATAGTAGGAAAGCCATACCACTTAAGAGCTTGACGAAGTGTTATCCGTCCCATACTATCATACGCATGTTCCATATCCAATTTAATAGCCATCAACCCCTTCTTATTCTTGGATAATTTGAACTTATGAAGAACCTCCTGAGCCAAGAGAGAATGTTCTGATATGGATCTTCCAGTAATGAATGCTGCTTGCTCTTCAGACACCATCTTGCCAATAACTTTCTTCAATCTGTTAACTAACATACTAGCCACGATTTTGTAATTAGTCTGACAAAGGCTGATAGGGCTATAATTTTATGGAATCAAAGGGTAGTTTACTTTAGAAATAAAAGTAATTAAAGTGTCCTTACACTCTCTATTTAGAATGCTAGTTTTGAAAAACCGATTGACAGCACTCCAAAGAGTTTCCCAAACAATACTCCAATAGGTCTTATAAAAAGAAGTAGTAACTCCATCAATACCTGGCGCCTTATTGTTTCCCTGCTGAAAGACCGAGAGCTGCAACTCATTGACAGAGAATTCCTCATTAAGAATCAACATATCTTCATCATTCACCTTCTGGCTTTCATCAACTAACGGCCAACCCGTCAGCTCACATTCTCTATACTTCCACTTCTTCTCAAAAAATTTACTGAAAACCTTCTCAATTTGATCTTCCTCCACTTGTATCATATTGAACTCATCTTTGACCTGATTAATACGGTTTCCATTTCTTCTTGCCGAAGCAAAATTCTGAAAAAACCTTGAATTCGTATCTCCTTCCTCATGCCATCTTACTTTTGCCCTTTGATTCCACCAAGTAGATAGACGCCTCAATGTAATATTCAGTTCATGAACTTTTTTCCTCAACACAAAAAGATCATCAACCGACCAATTATCATCCAAATATTCCTTATTTTGAATATCATGAATCTCCCTTTTTAATTTTTCCTTCAACAAATTCAAATCCTTGCACTTATTTCTATTCCAGAAAAAAAGGGCCTTTAAAGTACGGTTGAGCTTCCTTTGTATGATTATATATTCATCACCATAGTCATTCTTCTTCCAAGAGTTATAAACAATACTCTTAGCTGCTGGGTATGATCTCCAAGTGTCCTCAAACTTAAAGATTTTGGCCTTGCACTGCATTTTGTTCCTCATATTCAGAACAATAGGACTATGGTCAGACACTACTCTAGCAAGATGCTTGATAGTAGCTACTGGAAGCTTTTGAATAGCATCCAAATTTAGAATACATCTATCCAATCTCTCCCAAATCCAAGAGGTCCCCTCCTTGTTATTACACCAAGTAAATCTTGGTCCCATACTTCCAATATCATGAAAATCTGAATTTACCATAAAGCTCTTCTTCTCCCTAAGTCCTTCTGAAAATAAGAACCTTTTGCCTCCTCTCATTTCCTCCTTGTTAATGATACAATTAAAATCCCCTCCAATAATGGAAGGAATTGAATCTTCCATACAATCCTGAAGTTGATTCCACAAGCTCCCCCTTTCCTTACAACATCTACTCCCGTAAACCGTGGAAACTTTCCACGTTCCCAAGCTGGGAACTGAAAGACTACCCACAATTGCTTGAGATGATGCCTCCATAATGTCAAAAGATACCAAATTTCTATTCCATAACACCAGAATGCCTCCTGAAATACCCACAGCAGGGTAATGAAAATACTCCCATTCCTTTCCAATAAGATAATCAACATCTCTCCTATCAATGCTAGACAATTTGGTCTTCATAAGTCCAATAAAATACACAATCTGATCTCTAACAATGTCCTTCAAATATAGGGATGCTTCTTTTTTCCTAGCCCCCCTACAATTCCAAAAAAGAATGGATGACATTAAACAAGTGCAGATGGTCTCTCCCAATCCTTGGGGTTCAACCTATCATACCTCTTCTTCTTCTTATAATCCAATTCCACAGGTCCCAATGATCTCAATTCCTTGGACCGCTTAATCTTGGCAGCACCACTATGTGAACCCAAACCATTGTTACTGATATTAGCATCCAAACTTTCCCAGCCTCTTACATCTGTTTTATCAATTTCAGCATGATTCTGCATACATTCTTCTTCAATACTGTCACTCAGCATTGCAAATCTATTGGTTAGAACATTATCTGAGTTATTTTTCCCAACATGATTTTCAGTTTCAGAAGAAATATTTGGAACCAGGACATTATGTCCAGCAATAGTATCCTCATTCATCATTTTTATTTCTTTATGCAAATTAACCTTCTTATTAATATTTCCCCTGATAGCATTGCTAACCCTATTAGCATATACTCCTTTTCAAATAACATTACCTTTGTTGCCTCTCTTATTTTTGAAGTGAACATATATCCAAGGACCATATTCAGAGCTAATCATAGAAGTTTTACTGTCAGGCACAACCTTCTCACTATTATCATTAACTAACTCCATCTCCTTCAAATCTTGATTCTGTAATCCTATGGCTACATTTTTTGGACAGATATCTCTGTTATGGCCCACTCTACCACACTGATAACAGAGAAGATCGATTTTTTCATATTCAAATCGTTGGAAGAACCTTCCAGCTGAGCCATCTACCTAAACATCATTCAAAAATTTCATCTCCAAATCAATCCTCACACATACACGAGCAATCTCCCATTTACCCCAGCGGAAAGTGTTGTCATCAATGTACATTGGCGGGCCCAAGCAAGAAGCAATTCTTGCAATATTGTCCTCATCCCAGCAATACAGAGGCGGGCACAGAAGCCTAATCCAGACTGGTGTCGAAACTCCTTTAAATGTATTCGGATCAAATGCTGCCGACCACCTATCCATACCAACAATGGATCCGTTCACATACCAGGGTCCACCGTTCAAAACTTCTTCAACCACCTCACTCTTATGGAATGAACACAAAATCCAGTTCATACCAATAGACTTCAAGTGGAATCCACCAAATTTTCTCCATTGCCTTCTCAATTCTGTACTACAAATCGAAAAAGGCACATTATTACCCAATACTTTAATCACCACCGAGTTCTTTAAAATTTGAGAATTCTTTTCCTCCATATCTGCATTCAATTTAACAGCAATGTCATCCTCTAAAAATTCAACCTGATACCTATTGAATGATATCTTGATTGGTTTCGGTTTCGACCAAGCTTCAGCAACCTCATTAATCTTATTCTTCTGGATTTCAGGATCCACAAGATCTAAACTACGATCCTCCACATTTTCACCTTCCTTCAGAGCTTCCACCGATCTCAAGTCGTCTTCGATATTACGCCCCTTAAGCGTATCAAGAACTCAAGAAAATTTTGTTCACACGAAGAATTAAATCATCTGAAGTCGATGGTTCAAGAATTGCCAAACCTGGATTTCTTTTCACACCCAAACTTTTCTTCCCAGCCATACTTTCAACCAACAAATTCTTTCCCTTACCTTGAACTGGAACTTGATGGCAACAGGGTACTTCTCCTTCTCTGATCACAATATCATTTGAACCTCTACCATTGGGATGTAGAGATCCGTTAGGTCGCGGGGCATTCATGATGCCGCCAAAATAATGCCGGCGATCATCCGAAGCTGCCACCACCGATCGCGGAAATCACGTGAAAAATAAAATTTAAAAATAGGAAGACGGACTTTCTCTCTCTAGAAAAATCCAGACGTTCTCTCTCTAGGTGGCTTTTCTCTTCCCTAACTCAGATTGGAAAGCCAGCTAAGCACCTAATTAATTTTAAATCCATTAGTCAAGTCATTTATGAAAGAGTGGTGGGGACATTTTTATTAAGGTTCTAAAGAGCTAGGGCTAATATCTAGAGATTATCCTAAGTGGCCCCTCTTACTTATGTTGGGTGAAAATGCTAAATACATACACAATTAAGATTTAGACTCTTTTAAACATGTTTTCAATACAAAGCATGCTAGTCGAAATACCCAAATCATGTATGATTGAAATTTTAAAAAGGTTTAAAAATAGTTTATTAGAAGACTAAGCTTTCCCAAGTTCAACACCTCATCCTCACAGGTCGGATTATCAGAACTTTACCCACAGGCGGGGAAGTGTCTTAAAATAAGGAAAGAAGAATGCATTAATATATTCTTGCAAACCCAGGGGCGATCCCTGGCATATTCCCTTGATTCATTATCTTTCTATATTATTTAACTCCTAAAATTTTAAATGTTTGATTATGAGTAGAAGAGTTTTAACATCCTCACATGTCTAGGCTAAAATAAAGAGTGACACATAATCGCCAAAAAATTAAGAAAATCAGATAATCCTATACGGAATCAAGACAACATATTAAATATAATCAAGTTAATTAATAATGGTATATAAGAAAATTACTTTGATTATTACAACCCAGAATTATAGAATATAAAGTGCTCGGGCACCACTGATCACAACTTGGATTTTAATCCTAATATAGACGCAAGTGACTTTGAGTAAGATACTATTTGTCTTCAACTCCTTAGTCTTCTCTCCTTCGGGATCCTTAGATTCTTCATAGTTGGCTACCTAAATGTAAAAGAGAACTTTTTCCTCGAGGGGAAGGTTACTCCTTCCACTTTGGGTATTAAAAATACTCCAAATTTGGACTTCTAAATAGGAAAGGACTACCCCACAAATGGGGTATCTTTTCCTCTTTGGAATCCAAGTTTTGGATTGGTGTGTCACAACTCAAAGTTCAACTTTTATAACTCAATACTCAAATGAATTACATGTATATACAAAATAAAAAAAAATTAGACTCTCCTGCAAGGTTATACAGCCTAGCTTAGATCTAGAGTCAGTTGTCCTAGCATACTACATAAAGTGTGTGTAATAGGTCGTGTGACTAGGATAGGTCCTAAACTGGGTATTTTATTGGAGTTGTATAATGTTTGAATTTTTTAAAGGCTGAAGGATGATTTTTTATTAGAGTTTAAATATTAATGTGTTAAAGCTAAATTTGGATATCTTTTAATTTTTAAATGATTGCTACCTTTGTTAAACACTAAGGCTGTGTAGTTTATTTCACCTTTCTAGGGGCTATGTTAATAGCCACGTAGGTCTGGGTTACTTAGTAGAGATTGGGGTTGATTAAGTTAATTTAGTTGGTTATATGATTTTTATTAATCAAAATAAAGATTTCTAAAATTTTGATGAATTATTAGAATTATTTTATTTTTATTAATTAAGAGGTTAAAAATTAACTTTTAAAATTATAGTTAATTTTAAGGGTTTAAAATTTTTAATAAATATTTGATTTTATGATGAGTGATTAGACTATTAGCATGTTTAATTTGGAGTTTCCTATAGAAAGTTATGGATTTAGAAGTTTGAGACTAGGTTTTAAATTGGCTTTGATTGAATGGTTGAATTTTTTACTTTGACTAAAATTTGAAGGTTTAACATTTTTAGAAAGTGCTAGATTTTAATTTGAGTTAGATGCCTTTGAGATTGATTAAATTAGACTTTTCCAGAATAATTAAAATTTTTGGATGATTAGGGATTTATTGAATTATTTTAATTAAAGGTGGTTTTTAGTGATTTGAACCGAAATGGATTCCAAACTTCTTGAAATCACCTCCAAAAACTAGAAATGATCTAAGGAGGGATTATCAAGTGTTTGAGAATTTATTAAGATTTTTAACTATTTTAAATTAATTAATTAATTAATTATTAATTTTTCTTAAAACTTAACTAAAGTTGAAATTAAGGGATGGCTAATTAGGATTTCACTTTTCTTGGATTAAGGGTTCACACTTGATTAATTAGATTATTTAAGAGAATTTTTTGGATTTAATAATGATTTTTAGTGAATTATTTAAAGCTCTAGGTCAATTCTAGTGGGGAATTTTGGAGCTCCTAATTAGGGGACCAAATGGACACCAAATCTTGTGGAATTTAGGCCATGAGATCACTTGATCTCAAGGTTCAAACACAATAAATTTGAGCCTAAATGGAGCTCTTTAAGGTGGCTAACCAAGCCACCTAATATGTATCTAAGTCACCTTAGAAAAATCCTAGGGATCTATCCTAGGCTATGATTGGGGAAAATTAGTGGTTCTATACTCCCAATACTATGCATCATCTTCACACCAAAAATCAACTCCTAATTCTCATTGGAGAGTTTATGGCATCAATTTTAATTTTTAAGTGTCAAACCATGCCCCTTAAAATCAAATTGATGCAATGATGTCCTTAGACACTTCAAACAAGGGAGGAAAATTTTGGACATGTCCATATTGACTCTCCCAAAGTCCCAAGTCATGGTGACTTCAATTAAGCATGTAAATGCAATAATATAGAAAACATTCAAACTGAAATTAAGATTGACACAGTTATAATTACAGCTTGGGACCATAGGACTTTTGTAGATCTCTCTAAGATCTTTTTAGTGAGCCTAAGAACACCTAAGATGGCTAAATGGAGTGAGAGATCAGAATTTTTGAAGTTTCCCACAAGTTTTGCATTTAATTAACCCAGAATTACATAATTAGCCGACGCTTTTACGTGTGGTGCACTATGATTGGGAAGCCAATCATTGGCACTGAATGTGTAATCACAGGGTTAATCCCAGCCGTCGGATTAACAATAGGACAAGCATGATTAAATAAGTTTGAAATCACGGGAATGAACATGAACTATTGATTTAAATCAACGATCATAATTACGTCTTCAACCTCCCACTATCTCCCTATGTTGTTAAGCTATTCTGGCTAGATCTGAGTGATCCCATCGATGGATTCACACCAAACTTCTTGGGAAGGATTAAGACACTACAGAACGTCAATCCAATGGCTAGATTCTGGCAGTTTGATGATTTGATTCACACTTGACCACCACTACCTAGCCAACATCTCAGGATCAAAATATCACAATGTACAAAATCCCAACGAATGGTTTTTTTATTAAGAAGATTTAGTAGGAGAAGGTGAACATTTCTCCTTTAGAAGTTGGGACTAGAGGATGGTCGAATGTCTGACTTCGAGCAGACCATGCAAGGAGTTCATTAGAGTTCGCTCGAACGGATGGACGGGAGAGGCTAGGAGATTGGGTGAAGCTTGGGATCAATCACACAACTCTGGGAAATGATTTTGGGAGACTTAATTCAAATTTGGGACATCTGGTGGACTGCCCCCCAATTCAGCTCACTCCCATGAGCTTAGACGATCTGGATTGATTAAGCAAAACATTAGATGGCCTCCATATGGAATGGGACATCCTCCCAGAGATTCATGAGGCTGAAGCTGGCGAGCCCAACCTTTGGAAGGCTTTGGATCACACTTGAAGTGGAGGGTACCATCAGACCTCATTCTCTATTGGTTCTAATCACCGCTGGCTAGTGACTGGGTCGGGATTACCTGGACAGGGTGATGGGGATGTTGTGAGCTTGAATGTGAGCTCAATTGGACTGGGGGGAATCCAAATCTTTTACATTTCTTGGGTTAACCTAAACCTGCTCGGTTTGAGTCAAATTTAGCTAGACCCAGGTCAGATCAGACCTTAGGTCTGATGTGGGAGATGGGTCTAGCTCTAGTGCACCCAATGCAAGTGGAATTGGGTTTGAACTTCCCTGAGATGGGAGAAGTCTTGGGTCAAGGTGGTTTTGACAACTTTGGGTAAGCCTAGAAGTTGACCCAAGTTAACCCAAAGGTTGGGCTAGCTAGGGCAGGTGCATTGGACCTAGGTCTACCTAGTAAAGGTATTGGCTTGGTTTAATTGGACTTAAGGTGGGAGATGGCTCAATCCCAAGTGGTTTTGGTCACTTTAGGTCATCCTAGCTCCTATCCCAAGTTTACCCTATGGCTGGGTTGACTAGGGAAGGTGTATTGAGCCAAGGGAGACCCAATGCCACCACAGGTTTGATACAATTTGGGTTGGATTAGGAAATAGCTCAAGGGAGACCCCTTTTTGGGTACTTTGGTCAAGCCAAATGGCTAGCCCAAATAGGCCCAAGGCTTGGGTCTCCGAGAGGGCTCTTTTGGGGACCCAATGGATTAACCCATTGTTGGTGGAATTTTGAAAACAAGTTTTGAAAATATTAGTTCTCTTTGAGAATTTTAAAATTAAAGTTAAATTATAATTCTAAAATTGAATTGCCCTGTTAGAAAAAGTATATCACCTCGAAAGGTGAAAATTGAATTTTAGGACAGGATTCAGATTTAGAATTAAGAATCTCATCTTGAGTATTATGACCAGATTCTAAAGAGAACTTTCTTTAGCCCCGAAGGACCAAAAGAAAGTTCAATTAAATTTCCAGCTACAATATTCAAGAAGTGTGATCATTGAGTTCACATCCAAAGCCTTATCAAAGAAAGATGTATCTCCTCAAAGGGAGATAACACCATTCAATGATAATTCTTTGAATGTGATAATAATGATCATCTTTTGATCTTTTCCTAAAGGAATCCAATATGAATTTTGAAAAATCAAATTTTGAAATCAGGTTAGTGTGTGATTCTAAATCTCCTACAAGCGCAAGCTCTCGTAGTTAATTACATCATAGGGAGACAGAGTCCCCTACGAAAACTCTCGATTAAAATAGTGACAAAATTTCG